GCCTCAGGTTCATTTAAAGTTCCTTTCAGTTTTATAAACTCCGCCTGGTCAGTATCTTTGATGCGGCAGTGTCGGTCCTAAGCCCGGATAAAGGAGGAATGTTAGGCGAGGGGCTAGTAAACCCTCTCCGTAAAACACTCACCGACATGAACAATAATGCTTTCTATCCGGTGTGCGTTGAATATTGAAATTATCATAGAAGGATAAAGTATCAAACATACAGGTGCTGAAACGTACGGAAGAATGTGACCTGAGGGATTTAGTCAGAAAAAGAAGATTGAGATGGATGGGTCACATCATCATAAGAACGGATAACACAATAATTGTGAAGCAAGTGATGAATTGGAAGGTTGAAGTAGGAAGAGAGGACGACCAAAGCTCACGAGGAAAAAATGTGTTGAGAAAGACATCAGCGAAAAAATTATCGCATGGGAAGAAATGTAAAAGATGGCGCTGGATAGAAGAAAGTATCGTCAACGGACAGCCCAATGTGTCAGTAAGACACAGGATGGCCTAAGTGCTAACCAAGTCAGTTCTATGAGAGCATTGATTATAAAATCATGCACTTATATGTGTATGTATGTTTAAACATTAAAAATATTTAAGCTTAACTGTTTCAAACTTCAATTTCAGCCCTCGAAAAAGTAATGAAAGAACCAGTCTCCATAGTTTCATTTTGACAGAAACTTCACTAATATATTTTTCTCGTATTTTATACTCCTTTCATTATAAACATTATTATCTTCTTTAGCTGTCAGTATCTATCAGCTACTTCTCGAATGTCAAGAAATTTATTCAGTTAAAAAAACCTAATAACACCTAAGTTTCCAGCCGAAAAATAAACATGATGCAACAAAAATGTCATACCTAAAAAAAACTCCCAAGACTATCATAATTTCTTCTTATTGACTGTACTTGAAGTTAAAGAAATCGAATAAAAAAACAATACATTGTAAAGCATTCAATTGTATAAATCATTGTTTGTTGATTTATTTGCATCCCTAACCCATCCTTAGGGTATATTGTTATATACAGTAAGTACATTTCTAGTTTCATATTAAATTTTCACTTACCGTTCTCTCTGTAATGTTTATAAAAAGCAACATGTAAATTTGCTGTTACAAAGCTCCTTCCTGTACGGCGCGCGGCGACATTAAAAATGACCCTGTCCAGTTGCGTCCATCTAATAGCACCCTGCGTATTAAACAACTTCCTTCTTCATGCTTGATAGTTCTTACTTCCTGTCTACCAGCTGTCATGCGGGCGACGCGAAACGCTCCACCTGGTGGTACCGTAAACCTACAAAGAACCTCGCAAAGCAATCCTTTTCATAGGAAAATGCTAGAAAAATAAACTGTTGCACTCAAACAAAACTGAAGTACACTTCTCCTTTCCAACAGATTAACAGTAAAGTAACTCCAGTAATTTCTTAATTTTCTGTTATTTTCTACTTTCTTTATTAAAGTATAATGATAAATGTACTATATGCCAGCAGGTGGTAGCTCTTTTATATTACTCTAACAACATAAAATGATATTCATTTCGTGAACCCGCCCAAAATATAGTCTTTATAGAAACCGTATAGATAAACGATTGTAAAATAAAAGCATGCATAAAGTCCTTTTATATGTACAAAACGCTATTATTAACTTGGAAACTTGTTTAAAATGTATTTCTGGAGCATTTTAAACAGAACGTAAGACATATTTTGACATTTAAAACAGAATCTGGTACAATAAACAAAAAAAAAAAATTATGATGGCAGACAAATGAATATGGAGTCAGCGTTCCTTGATATTTTTCAAACCTGTTTGAAAACACCATCTGTCATAAATTGCAACTAACTTAGCAGAAACATAACGAAATATATTAGCGTTTGAAATTACAATAATTTACATGATTTCCTCCGGTGTCTGCTATGAAAATGCAAAGCTTATTGTGTTAAAAATCATCCAAACGTGAAAAGTTATATAAATATATTATCACAGAAGAAATCGTCAGAAAGAACAGCACGAAATAAAAACCCTTCAATAAATATGTTGAAAAAACATTAAATCCCTTGGAGCAAACCTCGAAACAAATATTAAACAACTATTTTACCTCAAGTTACTTCGTAGGGAAGTTTAGTAGTGTTGGTTTTGTTTTGAATTAGCTTCACGCACTATAATATTAAGGTCGTAACCATCCTTGAGACTTCTGGTTTATTCATGCTGGCCTTGTAGCTAGTAGGTCTCTGTGTAATAAAATAGGTCGTGTGTCCATGAAAAGTTACTCTTCATACAAATAAATGTAATTCAGAAATCATTTAAACTGTCTCTTTTATTCGTTAAGTCACTACAATAAAACACAATGGACTTTAAATAAAAACGATACCATGCTTAACCAAACTTTCCCTGATTGATTTGATTCTGTGCACGTGGAAAGAATTCATGTTAGCTACAATACTGTTTTAATGTTCATCGACTAATTCTAGAATCATGCTCAAAACATTATATTAAAGCATTCAACTGCATTAGATAAATTTAAGATAAATTGTATTTAAGCAAAGACCCTCTATCATTAAGGCAGTCCACTCCTTATTTATACAAGCATAATAAAATTTAAAACTGCGCCATCTAGCGACTGGTTTGATAGCACATACCAAGATACCTATTTAATTGCACACTTTATGGCATGTTTGAGAATTATAGCTTAAAATTGAACAAAATAAAGGAAAATTAGTTATATCCAATCGCTTGAAATTGCTTGCAGTAAATACACGAAGAAACGCATCAACAATTATTTTATCCTGAAATTAATGTTTTTCATTGAAGTTTATAAAAAATACATAAGCATGTTTGTGAATTATGAAATACATCATTAAAGCTTATAAATACATACAAATGATTCAGTCGAAAAAACCCTGTAAAACACACAATTAACTACACAGTAAAACGTTTAATAAAACACGAATTCAAGGAATCTGTAAAACAGGCCGCTTGGAGCGCTGTAGTGTCTAACTTATTACATTTATCGAACCGAGTGGCCTGTCTTTACAGATATTGTAACTTCAGATCTTACGATTCCGTTCTTTACTACGAAAGCCTTCGGAATTATGTATTTTTAGTGCATGATGCAACCTGGCCTTTATGAAGAGGGCGGCTAGGGTGACAACATATTTAAGACATTTTTATTTTTTACATTTGAATGTTTCTTGCACCCCTCACGATCATGAAACTAAGTATAACAATAGGGAATGTTGTGAAAGTAATATTCCCTACATCCGCTGATATTTACGATGTTAAGACTGAATTATCATGCTGTTTCTTGACAAATAATTTTCGTCGATGTGGTAAACTTCCAGAAAAGTAAAGTTCTTGGGAAATTTCAGAAAATGTAACAATTTTAGGAAGAACTCATTTTACTCTTGATTTAAAATTAGTAGGCTTATTAGACACATAAACCAAACCTGAGGATGTCGCTAGGTTAGATAACTTCTGTTCATATAAATAACGAGCGATGTTACATGTGTATGCTGCTAAGGTCGTTCAGTCCGATAAATGAACTCAGTCTAACTGCAACGCTCCAAGCGGCAGGTTTGGCAGAAAGAACTTGTGCTACTGCTGGTTATTACACTGGTAAGCTACCGTACAAAGAGTATATTGTATTGAATTTAATGGTAAATTTATTTTTAATACATAAAGGTGACAAAAAATTTTGCTAAACACAAAACTTCATATGTGATATAATGACTGTTAGATCACGCAGAAATATACTGTGTAATAATGCATACACATACGTAGTTTTAAACACGAACATATCGTTCACTACTGTGCTATTCTGATATTTCACCAATAGATGAATAAATTACTAATTTACCTAAAAACCTAATTTAAACAATAGGTATAAAGTTGTTTTTAAACGCCACTCGCAAATAACCAGTTATGCTAATCGTAGGCATAATACCGAAATTAACTGTTTTTCCTTGTAAATTTTTGAAGTTTTATGGATAAAGTGAAAACTAAAAGACAAATACAATACTTCCAAGGTGATGCACATGCTATTTAAACAGTTGGTTTGTTTGTTTATAATTAGGTACAAAGCTACACAATGGGGTATCTGTGCTCTGCCCACCACGGGTATTGAAACCTGGATTCTAGCGTTGTAAGTTCGCAGACATACCGCTGTGCCACTGGGGGGCAAAAATTATGGCTCGTGAAACTAGCAGAGTAGAGGAAACAATGGGTTATTATCATTATTCTCAAATATTCCCAGGGTATAGGACCACACTAAACCTTTAACCGGACCAGATTTTTTTTTTTTTAACTCTCAAACTTTCGGTAATAATTTCAACAACTCTGATCACTAAACGGCGATTTTAACAATTACTCTGATCTACTGTTTGATCATACTTTTTTATCTACATTTTTTAAATGATAATTTTCTGTCTTCTTAAAAATGGTATTCTATCCTATTCGTACATTGCCCAAATGTAACAAAAGCCTTCGAATAAATCCCAATGCCTATACATTTTAATGTAATAAATCTTAAGAAGTAAACCACGTATATAAATATATAATATTTCTTCTGAAACTAAATCCCATGAATTCCTCACATTTTTAGGCTTATTTGTGTTTTTGAAAACAGGTAAAGCTAAAATTGTACAGTATTATGCTCATTCTGATATGAGAAAAGTCGTTAACCAGCATGCTAATTAAAGTATTTGTACTGCTGAAGAAGTGATAGAAGTTCTCAAAATTAGTGGCGTCTTCCAAACTACTAATGTCGTTAAAAATTTATCACAGTATTATTCTTATTTAATGCATGCTTTCTTTGTATTTAACCTTATAGAAATTATACGCGTTGTTCTACTTTAAACAAGAAACTCACACTAATCTTTGCGTTATCACATAGGCCTTCTCAAATGAACCTCTATGTATTCATTTAATAGAAGTACCAAGTAACGATTAAATTTGGTTAAATAATGGCGTGGAAGTTAAATAAGTATTTATTAAACGCTGCTTACTTATCAATAAGCCTGTATCTTCACAGCTAAAGCGGAAACACCCCAATAACTAACCATACAGACAGTCGCCACAGCTGTAACAATCCTGTTAAACAAGGGGTAACCAAGCTTCGAGCTATACAATAAACACTCATTAAGCCTAGGATAAAGAACTACTTATCATGTTTGCGGCGTGAGACATCTAAAAATTGTTGACCGTCTCCTAGCAACATTGCTCTCATACAGCTATTAAAACTTTTATTTTGTTGATTGAATAAATGCAACTACAAAGATCGCAAGTATTAAAACTAACTGAGGAAAACATAATTTTATCTGGATTCACTCAGAAAAGTCTCTTAGAGAATATGTAATCCCTAAAATATATATTCGGAATTTAAAAAAATGTATAGGCTTAAAAATGAAATTGGGGGTCTTAGTTAAATGAACAAATTTTGAAGTAACTAACTTTGTTTATTATATGAATGACGTGTAGTTAAGTTCGAATTTGAATTATTGGTGCGATATGAAACACAAACGAGTATGTTCACTGATTATGTGGTTTTATATTTTCTAAAAGCATAAAATATTTGTGTACAATATTACAACTCGTAACTCTGAAAATTTAGATCCCACTTTACCTGAATGGTTAGTTATCAAACGACTTCTGTTCATTCTCCTGCATGGAAAATGTCCGTTATCACTTCTGAGGCTATCACACTCGCTGTCCAAAACTTTTAAGCGACAACTAGTTTCAAAGAATAGGGTTCAAATTTATAACCTTCAAGACTGGAGATTATCTAGCCTAGATACCGGTGTGTTTCAGTGTGATTTCCCGCGCTTTTATAGACCGCACCTTTATTGGAGTCACGTGTGAAGTGGTGTACTGAAGAATAAGAACATAGTTCCAGTAAAGCGCTTTTCTCTCTTTCAGCTAATGGCGTTCATGTGAGAAGGGATGGAATACCAGGAAGAGACAAGGCCAGAACCATTGGCTGCCAAGGCGTCCAGCAGGGTTACCTGTCACATGCAGGGGAAGAGAGAGAGCAGAAACACTTCTGGAGGCAATCTGGGTCAAAAGAAGATACCACCAACATTGACCTGGCTAACTCCCCTACTGAGAGTCTTGTCTCCCTAAGGCACATACCACGCTAGTTAAGTTGAGTAGTTACCTGAAATGGGAAGGTAAAGTTGTTGTCTTCACCTGCAAGATTAAAACCCTTTTAGGGCTCTATATAATTAGTGTTAACTGGATGATTTCTTTCCCTGGGGAAGCCGTGTCAACACATACCTTGTTCATTTATATTGTTTTTCATTTCAATGGATATGTTAACGGTCAATATCCTGTTTTTCATCTTCTATGTACTTGCATGTCTTTCTTTCTAGCTATCTATCTCTTCATTGTTCACACTAGCTAGGTGAGTGTATTCATTTGGTCTTGAAACAGTTTGACATGTTTATGAAAGACAAAATAAAGATGTCAGAAGGTTTTTAGATTAAATTATTGCAGAAATTACACTTGGTGCTCATACTATCTACACAACTAAAGCATTTTACCTCTCTTTGCATTTTTCATACAATGGTTGGAATAACTTTCAAGTATTGCTTTTTCAACAATACTGAATATTTAGAACTACTTTCCAGTGTCAGTGGAATGAGGAACTCGCATGTCTTGAAACGCGTGACACAAAACTAAAATTCTATAAGTAACAAGAAATAGCCAGCACATTCTTTTTTATTTATGGGTGACCCATTCTTAAGTTGCTAAATTGATTTACCATTACTACAACTATTTAAACTCTTTCTTGTTTATCTGTTGTTTATAAGCTCTTGTTATAGTTTATATTTTACCTTCTAAAACTAATTTAAAGGCTTGACACTGTATGTAATCCCTAACAGAAAAATGTTTTGTTTAATATATCTCATATAGTATCACAAGTTAAGTTTCTGATTCCAAATGTATATAATTTTTATAAATAATTCGATTTTAGAACTAAATGGTAATATATAAAAATACTTCTTTTGAAGAAAAGAAAATTCCTTCTCATTGCTATAACGTTTCGAAAAATATGAAAATATTATTACGATTTAATTAATATCATAGAATACAAATACATTTTTGCTTCTTGTGACTATTCAGGCATCCACAGACTAAATTTGGAATTCACATAATTTTATTTTTTATGATACATAAAATCATGCTGTTTAAAAGATTTAGAAAAAATACTTGGTTAAACAAGGGAAAGCTGGCTTCAAAGATGCTGTACCTTGTGTAATGTTTTCTTCTTTATTCTAACGATTATATATTTTACAAATTGTGCTTTTTCAAACAGTCAAATAAACTTCAAAATCTATAATGCCAAAACTTTTTTGTATTTATTTTCTGTTTTATTTACGGTCTAATCAAAAACTAAATTCATCAGAGGTTACTAGGAAGACTAAGTTTTTGTTTTCAAAAACAAGTTGATTCCAGCAAATTGCAGCCATATAATCTAAGTAAAATTAATATTTATTTAATTTGAAAACACACACACAATTCACCTTTACTCTCGCATAGACACATAAAATGCATAGACACATGTTTTCTAAGAGTTTACCCCTGACGTTGGACAGTGTCATTGGTAATGGTGACACTGTTCGATTAGTTTGTATTTTTATTTTTCTACACACTATAGGTCTCTTTAATTATATATAAATCTTTTATCGACATATATTGGTTTTAACTCGCTGTATTTTTACATTTTACTGTAATTTACTTTGACTGTTTTTACCAGTCGTTTGGCGCAGATAGCCTCGTTGCTTTGTGTCATTAAGCACCAAACAACCAACCTTAAAATGCACGAAGAGAAAATTCAAATGTTCAAACAGCAACAAACAATATTAATTATCTTAGTTAAAGTGCTTTCGTTTAAAACGCAAAAAAAGTAGTCCTAAAACGATTGGTATGTTCAACACTGTAATATTAGGTTAGGTTTTAGTAATAATGATTTACGATGATATCTACCTTATGAGTAAAATGGCTAAAGTACATTAGTTGCATAACGCGTGGCTACAAGAAGCCATTGGTATTTAGATCATGAATATCATTAATTCCCATAACCAAAGCGGAAATCCGGTAGCTTGCATCGAGTATATTACTGTAAACTACTAGACACACGTTTTCCCTGCTTGATCTCTAAATCGAATATGTCTTTGTAAGCTACGACTTATGTCTTCGCTAAGTGATCTTTACACTGGATATGTCATTGTAAGCTACTACATGTCTTCTCTGCGTAATCTCTACATCGTGGATATTACTATAAGCCACTAAATATACGTCTTCTCTGCTTGATCTCTATATTGAATATGTCACTGTAAGCTACTACATGTCTTCTCTGCGTAATCTCTACATCGTGGATATTACTATAAGCCACTAAATATACGTCTTCTCTGCTTGGTCTCTATATTGAATATGTCACTGTAAGCTACTAAATATCTTGTCTGCGTGATCTCTACATGTCTTCTCTGTGTGATCGCTATTATTTCTTCACTGAGACCCACACAATTAATAAATAACATTATACACTGTGAACAGAAAACTGTAATAAATGTACATTATATATATATATAACTAATTAAGTATTGTGAAGAATGCCAGCTGCAATATAAGTAATGACGCGCTTTGTACGGTTTACCAGAACTTAGTCATAACAAATCATGTTCATGAACTTGATCTTGCATCGAGTGTGTACTGTAAACTAATACACATATGTCTGTTTAATTTAATGTTATATGTTCATAAGGAATTATTTCTGAGTTACAATTTATCACTTATCTATACCTTAAGATTTTTCTAAGACTTTCAAAATTTTGTTTTGCGTTCCCAAAGTTTTATTTGTTTGTTTTACAAGCACAGCTACACCGCCGCCAACTCTTGAGCTATTCTTACCTTCTGACCAAATAGTGGGATATGACTCATTTTTGTAGCGTACTACGGCCCCAATGTTTTCGTGACAACAAGACAAAATCATGAAGCACATTATGGTTCAGTTGTCTACTTAAATGGTAATTACCTAATTTTGGATAAAAACATATGAGAGTGTCTGAAGATTTTCGGAAATTCGTTTTTTATGGTGTTTTTGCGTTTTAAGTTTACAGGACATTGTAAAAAAAAAGTGGTTTTATATTTCCTTAGGACTTTGTTTGTTTTAACCCTATGAAAAGTATTTGCAAAAAATAAAACGAAACTTTTTGTATAAATATGTATATCCAGCAGTTTTTACAAACCTATAGGATTATATATATATATATATACTTTGCCTGTATATTTCATCTGTAGTTCATAGCTGAGTTGTATTTAGTTATGTGTAACACTTATTATACACATTGTGTGATAATTTTAACATAACTATAAAATTTACTCTACAATGAGGTTATATGTGTTGTTGCATAAAGTTTGCTTACTCTATACTTACGATTAGCAAGCCCACCAGTGGCACAGCGGTATGTCTATGGACTTACAACGCTAGAAACCGGGTTTCGATACCCGTGGTGGGCAGAGCACAGATAGCCCATTGTGTAGCTTTGTGCTTAACTTCTAAACAAACAAACGATTAGCAAAAACAGGTAAATACCTATCTACGGATTTCGGAATGTTTTATTAGGTGATAAGAAAACCAAAACCCTTAAGACTTCAATAAAAAAATCGATTAATACGAGAAAATATTCCGTAGATACGAATTGTTGAACGGTGGGAGGTCTCATTAGAGAGGAATTTTACATTAGAAATTTAAAACTCGATTGTCTATGTGTATTCGAATCTGTTTGTTGCCTTTGGGCCATAATATTGCTCCAACCAACCAACCAACTGTTTGTTGCTTAGCAATAGTCAAATAAATATTATGAGTAAATATTGGTATTAATTATTTTATTTTCCTTTAATCAAGAGCTAATCCCTTCTTATATATTTAGTTTCAGCGTCGATTTTGTGAAAAAGTAATACTAAAATACATGTTTATATATTGATCATTTCAATAACACTCTTTATTCGGTACAGAATTGAGTGACGTTTTAGGTCGGACGAGACGTAATGGTTAGCATGTCGGGCTGCGTAACGAAAGGTCAAGCTTCTCACTTTCAGCCAAGGAAGTGTTAACTGTTACGGTAACTGGTGTTATTCAGTTGAGAGTAGCACTATAGGCGGCGGGTATTTATGACTGTTTTCGGTCTTATTAACAATTCTAAATTAGGGATAGTTATGTGTGAACCTTGGGATCTCTGTTTAACCCTAGCGTTGCATAAAGTACCGTTCAGGTATTAAAAGCAAATACCTGAGTGACATTTCTTTAACATCATGATAGCTCTATTGATATGGTCTTCAATATGACATGTATTATTGGTCGTTTGATAAAGTTTATGATAGTGATTTAATTGTTCTTATGAATAACATTGGAGAAAGATTTCACTCAAACGCACAAGCTTTATTAAGAACATAGCTCAACCTAACTAAACTTATTTACTAGATACCAGTCTAGCTAATTAACTATTAATTTTCACTATTTTTAGTGGACAATTGTCACGAAAAGGGCTTGTTTGTTGAGTTTCCCGCAAAGCTACCCAAAGGGCTATCTGCGCTAGTCATCCCTAATTTTGAAGCGACAGACTAAAGGAATGGCAGCCAGTCAACACAACCTATCGCCAACACTTTGAGTGCTCTTGTTAGACCAAATAGTGGGATTTGACCGTCAATCATATAACGCACTCACGACCTCAAAGAGTGGAATGTACTGCTCTACGAAAAGAAAGAACCGCTATACGTTTTACGTTGAAAAATTCAACGTTGACATTCTAGTGGTATAACAGCAATAAAGAAAGTTTACGGTTAATAACATCTAGATTCAAACAGATCTTCACCTATGACAATAAGGCTCTACAGTTTTCCATCTTCTTACTTCTTCCCTTTTACAGATGTATGGTTTGATAAATGTTAAAAGCTAATGCTACATAAACAGTTAGATCTATTTGTTTGTTGTTATTGGAAGACAAGGATCTACGTGTAGTAACACATTTAGATACACGATTAAAACGATTATTAATCGGTTAATAACACGATTAAAATCAAATAAAACCTTCCTAGACACTTATATGCTTATATATAAAATTTTAATTAAGGTTTTCGCAATCAGTTCCTTATTTATCAACTGAAAGCTTCTGAAAAGTGAGGCAATAGAATATACATAAAACGCCGTTTTCAAATCTGAAAATTGAAGAGAGTGCTAGTAAGCAACTTTCTAGAAATATCCGTGACTTCCAGGTAAGCTATAAATATAACTATAACTATATATAAATAAATATGTATATATATATATATATACATACACGTATATATACAGGTTCGACCTTTTCGATAAGCCCCAGTGGTACAGCGGTATGTCTACGGACTTACAACGCTAGAATTCGGATTTCGATACTAGTGGTGGGAAGAGCACAGATAGCCCATTGTGTTGCTTTGTGCGTAATTTCAGACAAACTAAAACTTTTCAATAAATATGGGGTATGGTACACCTGTTTCAAATGCTGAAATGCAGCTATTCTTATGTTTTTAAACAGCTTTAAACACTCTTAGATCACATTAAAAGCAGCAGCTTCATGTATATTTCAGATGTTCTCCTTGTGGCAAAGCGTATAGTAAACTAGGCCGGAACGAAAAAACAACAACTCTGAACTGAGAAATGTTGACAACTGTAGCAAATATAGTAATATTTTTATGAATATATATACAATATATATTATAACTTTAATGGTGAGTTGCATTTCACAGTCACTTGGTTGGCTTAAGGGTAGATAAAAATCCTGAATGACGTAATGGTCTAAGACACGCTACATGCAAGACCCCGTCAAGCGGAGCGCGATTTCTTTTTCTCTCTCGGCAATAAGATGCAATGCTAGACTACCAGATTCACAGTACGACAAGACAACCACTGGAGTACACCCAGCCCGTGAATTACATAAAGCCAACCACTGTAGTACACCCAGCCCGTGAATTACATAAAGCCAACCACTGTAGTACACCCAGCCCGTGAATTACATAAAGCCAACCACTGTACTACACCCAGCCCGTGAATTACATAAAGCCAACCACTGTAGTACACCCAGCCCGTGAATTACATAAAGCCAACCACTGTAGTACACCCAGTCCGTGAATTACATATAACCGTCATCTTTAACCCAAGTTTAAGTTCAGAATAGTATTTTTTAAGTTTCAAGTGTGGTGAAACAATGCAGTCTAATTTTTGTAAGTCAGAAAGTATGAACAGTATATTCATTTAGCTATTATTATTTACTTATTACCACGTTGATAGCTTACTCTGATCGGAAGTTGATATGAATTATAAATTATTTTAGCAAAATGTTTCTGAATACCATAGTTTCCTCAATTAAATGTATGAGGGAGAAGAAGTCATGTTATTTACCATCTTTAGTTAATAGTATATTATAGTTTGATGACAATATATCCGATAGACTTGAGAATTTAGATACTGAAATATATATATACTGATGAAGTGTTGAAAATAAGAAGTCCCCTAGTGGTTCAGCGGTAATTCTGAAGACTTATAACGTCTAAACATTAGGTTTCGACAGTCCATTTTTTAAATTTGTGCTTAACGACAAACGAAAACAAGAATATACTTTAAACATTAAAATACAGGGACCGCTGATCAAAAGTGATCACAGAAAGAGACGCTGCATTGTTTTTAGCTTTCGATATGTAACACTGTTCCTTCCTCCAATTTCCTTTTGTATGCTGTCTGTTGCTATTGGCTTCTTGACGAATACATTGTGTTTTACATACAAAACATGAACCCAATCTTTAGATGTCACAGTTTTCGGGGTTTTATTTATGACTTAGTCTGGATTCAATCATAAGTGAAAATGTTTATATATATATATATATATATGTATATATACAGTGGGTTATCCCACCGTTGTATCGACCCACAGATTTTGGGGTTATTAATCTGCGAGCTAACCGCTGAACCACTGTATAGCAGGGGTGAGGATGGAGGGGGGGGGGGGTCTTTCGGTACAAACAAGATCTAGCTGTCTGCTCACAAGTTTAAATTAATCACCATTCAGTGTCAAGTTTGAATATCAAATAACGTTATAGGCATAGTGGAGTTTTTAGAAAACAATATAAAATCCTGTCTACAACATACTGAAAAATCTAGAACATACATAGAAAAGCACCAAAAGCCGTATCGCATTAATAATTCGGAATTTATTTTTATTAATAATTAAGATTTATTGCAAGTATCAAAAGTTTTCGCTTGAAAGTAAGTTTTTAATATTTTTTGTATTATTTATGATCTAGACTCAGCTTTCTCACTAGAAAGGGCAGTTAGTGGCCGTCTTACCCAACTCTAGCCAAACTGGAGAACAGGAACGCGAAATATTTGAAACTTGACAGAAAAGTTAAATATGAGTTATATAAAATGAATGTTGTTACTTTAGAAAGTTTGCAAAAATATTCAGAAATATTGTGATGTTATTATCAATCTTATCATTTGATTGCACAAAATTATCTGCTGGTATTTGTTTCAACTTTTACCTTCGTATATTATATATATACGCATTGCTTTTTACTACTGTCAGCAGAATGGTTTTATGGGAAAGACAAAAATCTATTTGCACAGTTTGATGTATTAATGCGATATGGAAATTTAAAAGTTATTTTTTTGACACACATTATTTTAATAAGTATTTTAATTAGATGTACGTGTCAGAATTTGTTTATCTCTGTTTGAGTACAGTCAGATCTTTTCGTATTGTTATACGCAGTGCACTTTCATTCCATATTAATTCCAACAATGAGTTAAAGACTTACACGCAGATTCCAGATTTTAAGTGCATTCAAGATTTTGAAGGATTAGTTTACAAACTATTGTTTGAATCGAAAAGTATTCTCGTCATCGAGACGCGTACTTCTAGAGCAAGAAACAATGGCTCACCGGTAAGTCTGAAGGCTGATAACGCTAAAAACCCGATTTCGATACCCATGGGCACGGCACAGATAGTCCATTATGTAACTTTATGCTTAACAATAAAACAAACAAACAAAACCAAAATCAGCACTGTAGTCTCAATAGCTTAGATCGGTTTGAACCTTGTAAAGTTGACCTGTACATTAAATAAGTACAGTATCTTTATATCCTCTAAAACCAGGTCCTGACAAAGTATCAATTTTTCTGCAAGTTAGAAGTATCTCTTCGTGCATTTTTCAAGTTGAATTTCCAAGAAATAGAAAAATAATGGAACTCGATGTCAGCTTTCAAAAAAAAAGAAGTGATACTCGACTCGAGATTCTATAAGGAATTGGTACTGCGTTCCAGCAAGCATCAGCAGAATTCCGGCTCTGCTTAAATGTCGTAATGTAACTATGTGATTAGTAAGGTTACAAAAAGTAACATCGTCATTTCACTTTGTGTGGCCCCCAGTGGCAAAGCGGTATGTCTGCGGACTTACACCGCTAGAAACCGGATTTCGATACCCGTGGTGGGCATAGCACAGATAGCCCGTGGTGTAGCTTTGTACTTAACTTGAAAAGAAACAAACACTTTGTGCGTGAATTTATATTTCTTCGTTTTCCATTTTTTTTCGTGAAGCACATTTACCATAGTTATTTTTTAGCCAAGTACGTTCTATGTTTCTTAAGATAGACAAGAAAGCGTGTTATAAATACGTTTATACTGGTTGTCAAAAAAAACAAAAACTTGAAACTTTTGCTTATCTGTTTGTTTCTCTGTAGTTAAACACAATGGGCTATCTGTGCTTTGCCCACTACGGGTATGAAAACCTGGTTTTTAGCATTAAACTTGAAAGTCAATTTTTGATTATCTTTTCGAATTTCATGTATAGCTGGATTGGTGAATAAAATAACAAGGACAAATACTGCCACACGATTACAACAGAAGGCAAATTTGTAGAAAATTACATACTATTTACTCGGCATATTAACAAGAGAATATTTTGAGAAAGTTGTCTAAATGTTAAACTAGGTTATATGCAACCATCTTTAGTTTTAAAAAATTGTTAGGACACGCTAAAGTTATATTAAAGGGGTACAGTTTTTATGGATACCATAAAGTAGTTGGCTTGATTACAAACAAAGTTTGATAAGTAGTGCAGGTAAATTGGAGTATAGAAAAACTAGGTCTATAACGAAATTTCAGCAGAGGCATCACATAGCGAAATATCTTTACATGACTAAGTTCCATATTATTCATTTTAAAACATATACATATATCACTAAAAAAACAGTAATGTACTGAATAAAATATTAACTCAATGGAAGAATTGAAATTACTGGGCAACGATATATTAGTTTCATGAATAGATCGAAAAGGCTTAAACTACCAAGTTTTCTTACAGGAATAGGTTAAGATTTCTTAACATATTTTCTCTTGAGAAAACAAAGGTTAGATATAATCTTATCGAAGTTTATAATTTTAGCTAAGGGATCGATAGCATAAAGTCCCCTGGCTTTTTGTGTGTGTGTACTAAATTCTGAAAACAATAGGGCGAGAAGACAAGAGTTTAAAATTTAGAAAAGACGGGCTTGGCTCCAGTTAAGACAGTTTTATTTTTCTAATAGGGTGGTTGATTTATGGAATGAGTTGCCGTTGGCAACAGTGGAGGCCAGCACTTTACAGGAGTTTAAGAGAACTGATGATATCGTGAAAATAAAGGTTGAGCTTAAAATTTTACTTTCCTCAAGGGTAGGTGGGTAAGGACAGTCTTGAATGACAAAACTGCCTCTTGTTGGTCGTCGTTATGTTTCGCTCAGTCATATAAATATAAGGATTAGTTTAGCATCTGACTTTTTTGCACCAATGTTGTTTGTGCGAATGAAATTTACATATTTACTTTAAGTAAAACGAACTTGAATATCTTGTATATATATATATGTATAATGACAAAATTTAATCAACAACAAGCAGTTAAATAAAATACCTTTCCCAACATTGGAAGGTATCGTTGATCTGTTTCCTGATACTGCGCTCTAAACGAATGTCATTTTCAACATAAATGTGTCAGAGACTCTTAGTTCAGGTTTTATCCTGCCTAATTTTGAACTACTGATCACAGGCACGACAGCCCGTCAGTAGCACCCGCCGTTACAAGGGCAGTGTCTAACTGTTTAATTCGAATGGCGGGATTCAGTGTCATTTTTAGCACCCACAGTTTAAAGTGCTGATATCATACAGTGGCATCATTGCTCGAGTCTTGAACGCTTCAATCTGCAGTCCGGCACGCTAACCACTTGGTCACTCTCGGTCCTCGTCAAAAATGAATCAGTCTTATATATCTAAACCGTATACCTTTGTTCAACATTTCCCGTTTCTCAGCTATCATTAACCCTCTGTTATCAATTGTGAAACTTGAAAATGTTAGAAGGTATTTTATTTGGTGCATTCATGATTCCACTTACAATTGACCTGCATCTAATTTTTACTATAGTTACAAGCATTCACGTTGTAGCAATTCGTCTATCTATGATTACTTGCGCAGCAATAAAAAGCAGCAAGATATTTATTTTTTACTAGTTATTTGACTTTTTGTACATCTCACCCTATAGAATGAAATATGACAAAATTCAGCCTCACGAGAGTTAAACAGACATGACAATAATAATAGTACCACTTTAAATATCACCCCCACCATTAGAAGTAGACGTTTGTCTACTAAAAGAAGCATTTTATGTTGCGTTGTTTAAAAAAATTATGTCCCAGGTATAATTTGCAGACTTTTATATATATATATATATATATATATACAAAAATAGTATACGTTAATGTGGATGTGCAAAATTTTGTGCCGTTTTATGAATTTCAAACATTTTAACCTACTTAATATTTTCATTACTACTGTATTATTTCGTCGTATATATTAGTGATTTGATCCACGTTTATTACACAAATAACTTTGTGAAACATTATTTGACAAGTTAAAATCGTTTCTGCTTAAAAAACAAAACAAAATCAAGAATATGATGGAGAGAAAACAACCATTTACGAAAAAAAAACGAGTTCTCGTTTTGAGTAACCGATAAATAAATAAAATTCGTTAAACTGTATTATAGTACCTCTCTGTAATATATAACTTGCATTATAATAACAAAAGCCATTGGTAAAGGAAAAGTAAAGGAAGTATGGGAAATATAACAACCATTCCAAACCATTTCTGTTCTAACCATTTATGATATGCCCATTTCTTGGTTTTTATAATGAAACTAGTCAAAGCTTCGAGGACTTCTAGCATATAGGTATTTCGAATTAGTATATTCAATTAAAAATTACTGTATGATAGTTTTAGGTCATGACTAAATATGTGCTTTTTTATTTACAATAAGAAATTGCTATTTCTTATATATTAGTATGATTTGTTCAAGTTGGATAGAACAGTATAAATAAACAATTGAAACAAAAAACTTTTATCTTTAAAAGACCCCTCGACGTGGTTTCCTGTACGTGGTGAGGGGACCTACCAGGGAAGGTTCTGTATTTTCAGTTCCTTTTTCTGGGTTCTAAACATCCACCCACGTGTTTGCCCGTGAAGGGGATGAGAGGATCCTGGTGGTTGAGTGGTGTCTGGGGCACTGCAACACACCACTTTGGCCTTGAATTCCTGTAGACGGGTGGCCCTGGGGTGGCCCCTAGGGTCAATCTGCTGGTCCACTAGGGCTAGGGTCGACTGAATACCAGTGTTGGGCGTTCTCAACGGGTGTTGTGGACATTGTGTCTGATACTGGTGTTTGGGTATAGTGCTCATGAAACCCTGGCATTGCTGCAGTGTCCTTGTTTGACATTGTAGTGCGTCCCCTCGTAGGACTCCATGGCGGGTGGGGTCAGTGGGCACTGAATCTCTCTCTCTTTAATTATGGATCCCCCATTCTAAATAAAAAAATGTTAAAAATCTGCTAATTGGTAAACGACCACGCCTAGAAGACTCTGAACAGCAGTCTCCATCACAAAGTACATCTGTACTTCGCTTTTTGATCCTACATTCACTGTCTGATAAATCTTTAGGGCAATTGTCTCCCTTTTCTATTCAGAAGGGCTTAGAGGGGGTTTGCTGGCTCTCCAAAGTCAGTTAAGAAGCTCCGTTCTGGAGACATCTTAATAGAAACTTCCACAACTAAGCACAGTGAACTTCTCTTGAATTCAAAGGCCATTGGAGATATACCCATTGAGGTTGCTCCCCACGCTTCCTTTAATTCTTCACGAGAAGTTATCGTTGAAAGGGACTTGAAATCCTGCTGAAACTCCTTGGCTGGAGAAACCAGCAAGGATCTCCGACTCGGGGATATTCGAAGGATCTCCACTCGTCAAGATGGAATTATGGTGCCGACCTCAGTTTTGATTTTGACGGTTTCATCACCACGTTCATCTGCCGCCACTAAGGCAGGTTATTTGAACTGTAAGGTATGGCCCTATATTCCCAACCCTCCAATGTTTTCAGTGTCAGCGGTTCGGTCAATTAAAGACATCTTGTCGTGGTGTGCTCGTTGTTGTGGCAAGGACCATAACTCCTATGAGTACAAAATGGACCCTCACTGTGTTAATTGTAGTGGTTCCCACCCCTCTTACTTTAAGTCTTGCCCTAAGTGGGTAGAGGAGAAAGAGGTACAGCGTTTGAAGACTCTTAATAACATCTCTTATCCTGAGGCTCGGAAGCTATTGTTCCCTCCTACATCTCGGACATATGCCTCTGCACTACGCTCCACTGCTACAGTGGGAGTGCGAACGGACCTTTTCGT